ATTAGTTTTTCCTTATTTCTAAATTATTAAGTTTAAAGTGTTTTTTTAAGTATAATTTTATCAATGTCTTACGTGTGAAAACAAATAATTTTCTTATACAAAGTGAGGGCACATTTTTTGACGTCGCCTCGAACCTCAAAAATTTCTAGACCAGCCCTGCTTATAATAATGTGAAACCTCAAACTACATAAAAATGACATAAGGCCAACAAATAAGAAAAAAGGGTTTTAGTTGTGTACTTCTTCCTAGATGCCGTGGTTGCTTTAAATTCGTATTGTATACTTATTTTTCGAAACTTGAAACGTTAAAGAAGCGGGAAAATAAACTTCAAAGTTAAAAGGACCAAAATGCCCATATATGTTTTCTTGTTTACAATTTTATTTGACTTGCGTATTTTTGTGATTAAAATGTCCTACGACATGTCTCCTATCTAGCTAAAATTATGATTGTTGTTGAGAATTTATTTCGTCGTTGTGGGAAGGTTCAAGATCAATGACTAAATCGCCCTTGCTTTCATCCTTAAGCTGAAATAGAAGAGATCAGCATATAAATATTAGCTTAAAATAGCCAGTTGCACCCTCCTTAAATGGTTCAATCATCACCCATCAACTCAAAACTAACTTGGTTCCCTTACTAACTAGTTAGTAAGAAATTGTTAGTTCTTATTAAACTAGGTTTCAAGCTATAAACATATGCCTCTGGATCACCTGATTTGAAGCTTTAAGAACTAAAAAAATTAGCTTTGAAAAATGGGTTGATCACCAAATTCTCTCAAACACTTCAATTACTTTAAAGAAGTTGCATCCTTCCATTTGGAGTTCTTTTTTTTTTTTTTGAAACAATGAATGGATCAAGGACTTGTGAACTTTCCTTTCTTGAGCATTTTCATTAAGTACTTGAACGCCTAATTATATGTCCAAGTCTGAACAACTAAGATGGTGGTGAGGATAAATCTGATCACCCAAGACGGTGCAAACACCAAATCAGTGTTGCTTAGGGCGGCGTAACCATAAAATTCAGTCAACCAAAGACGCTCAGTCATCCAATCTAAGGGCATAAGTTGACACATCCACAAAACAGTTTGGTAAGGTTGTTGCCGCAGGGGTTTCAAGCGTAAACAGGTGGATCTAAGTCACTAACAACTAAGAACCACCCCAAATTCAAAATCTAGCTCCAAATCAAAAGACAACGACTTGAGAGAAGGAAAGATGCCAACTTTGGGGTAGAGACTCCAAAAAAGCCATAGAAAAATGGTTGGCCTAAAAAAAAGTAAGGGACAGTAAGTGCTGGGTAGCACCTTTGGAAGGGAGATGAATGGAAATCGCGGAAGAGGAAACGAAAAGAGTCGAGGAAGGCGGTTGTGGGAGGCGGGATGGCAAATGGAAGGGGTAGTAAAGGGGCTAGGATGATGGGGAAGAGGTTCGAAGGAAGAGATGTTAGGCTACTGCCAACCCAAGCTAGAGCAAGGTCAAGAATCAAAATAACTCAACAGCACATCCAACGAAAGTCAGGAATCCAAATAATTCAACACCTATTGGTGTAAAGTAGAAAACCCTTACATGCCAAAACTAATTGAAATTTGCAAATAAGGCCATCTCCAACCGAAGGGTCCAGAGGGCCGAAAATAGCCCGAAAACTGTCTCCAACTGAGGACTAGGCTAGAGGGTTCGTGGAATCTGAGAGGGGCCTACGGAATCTGAAAGGGCTGGAGGGCTGGCCAGAAAAATCATTATTCCTGTCGATTATAACTGACAGGAATCCTTAAGCTAAAATTCAAATGCAACGACTAGCTGACGTCATATAACCGTTGCATTTGATTTTTTTTTTTTTTTTTACAGTTTTATTTTTTTTTTTTTTACAAAATTTTTCCTATAACTTCTATTTCACAAAATTTGTTTCATTTTATTTTAAATTCTATTTTTTTCCTATAACTTCCTAAGTTATTATACAACATTAAATTAAATTAAGTAAAATGAAACAACATTAAATAACATTAACCAACATACAAATTATACAACATAAAAAAACATTTAACAACATGAAACTTAAACAATATTTTTAAAAACATTTAACAACATAAAACTTAAACGCCTACTCCATGCTTCTTTTGGCCCAAAGATGTGCAACAAGATCCTGTTGTAGGTACTTGTTTGTGACATGAGAACGTATTGAAAAAGATCCAAAGTTGGAATTCATTGCAAACTTGAATTGGAAAAAGATTGAATTGAAATGATTGAATTCAAAGTTGTGTGAATTATAGCCCAATATCCACCCTATTTATAGCAAAAGAAAATTTCAAATCCAACGGCTAGCTGACGTCATGCTAACATCACTTAGCCGTTGGATTTGAATTTAAGTTGTAGTTTTTAAATAATAAATTATGTTTGCCCTATGGCCCTTTGTTTCTCGGTTGGAGACGGTTTTTTGTGACAGGGCTAAAATGAGCCCTCTGGCCTTTGGCCTTGATTGGAGACGGAGGCAAATATGGCCCTGTACTGTTCATTAAAATATTAATTTCTTGGAGGTTGGAGATGGCGCTCGTTTTAGCCCTCTGACCCTCTAAGATATTAATATTTTAATGAACAGTACATGACCATATTTGCCTCCGTCTCCAACCGAGGGCCAGAGGGCTCGTTTTAACCTTGTCATAAAAAATCGTCTCCAATCGAGGGCCAAAGTGTGACATCCCACATCGCCCATGGGTGTGATCCTTATATGTATATTCTCATCTCTACCTAGCACAAAGCCTTTTGGGAGCTCACTGGCTTCGGGTTTCATGGGAACTCCGAAGTTAAGCGAGTAGCGCGCGAGAGCATTCCCAGGATAGGGTGACCCACTGGGAAGTTCTCGTGTGAGTTCCTAGAAACAAAACCGTGAGGCTGTGCTGGGGGTCCAAAGCAGGACAATATCGTGCTACGGTGGAGTCAAGCTCGGGAAGTGGTCTCGCCCGGGCCGGGATGTGACACAAAGGACCAAACATAATTTATTATTTAAATTTAAAAACTACAACTTAAATTAAAAACAACAACTTAAATTTAAAAACTACAACTTATATTTAAAAACTACAACTAAAATTTAAAAACGACAAATTAAATCTAAAAACTACAAATTAAATTCGAAAACAACATTAACTTAAATTTAAAAATTACAACAACTTAAATTTAATATCCATAATCAACCTCATCTTCATCATTCACCATTGTAGGAGTATAAAAAATATGAAGTTATAGGAAAAAATGGAATTTAAAACAAATTTTGTGAAATAGAAGTTATAGGAAAAAATGGAATTTAAAAAAAATGAAAAATAGAAGTTATAGGAAAAATTTTGTAAATAAAAAATAATAATAAAACTGTAAAATAATAATAATAATAATAATAAAACTGGAAACATAGAAGTTGCATTTTGAATTTTTTTTTCTTAAGCATTCCTGTCAGTTATAACCGACAGGAAATATCATTTTTTTGGCCCTCTCAGATTCCACAGCCCTCTGGCCTAGCCCTTGGTTGGAGACGGTTTTCGGACTATTTTCGACCCTTTGGACCCTTCGTTTGGAGATGGCCTAACTCCCCTTTGGTTGCCCTGCTTGGCTCCTTTACTACATCATCATCCATGTTGATGCACCACAAAAGGTCCTACCTGCCGATCGGAAAGAAGCAACAGCATTGTGAAAAATTTAGTGCAGATCTGGGTGGATTTGAACCACCAACCTCTCAAAGACCAGAAAGGACTTGAGCGCTCTACCATTTTTGAGCTTACAGATCTTTATTGCATACAATGCATTCTCCATTCAAACCCTAACAAAAGTCTGATATTCGACCTATCAAATTCAAAACTCAGAACCAAAGGGCTTGTATACGAAACCACCATCACTAGGGTTTGCCCTGTGTAACAATTTCAATCTCATTTTCAACAACAAATATAAAAGATAAACACTTATCAATAGTGGCTTCAAAGACGAATGCCAAGGAAGATATCCTTCAAAGACTGAGCATGACGTTTTAACTAACATATTCAAAATCAAAACCAACAAATGGAACTCTACTGCTAAAAAAGAACAACAAATTACATATAGTTCCGCCGACTACATTCACATCAACTAAACCTGTATCTTCCAAACAAAATAACTCCAATTCCTCCAAAATTCAATAGAAAAAAAAATCAGGTGCAAAGTATTCAAACATAACTCCGACATGAATAAGATAATTAAATACATAATCCTGATAGCCAAATCTGAAATAATCTTTGTAATGACTCGTTGCGAGGACTTGCAATAACTTTTACAACAAAGGGAATGTGAAGCTCAACTTATATCATTGCCCCTCAAAACTTCTCATAGAGATTGCAGGGCAACGGAATTAGACTTTCCGCATGACCGAGCAGCTTTTATTTGAGCAGAGGACATCATTGGGGCTCGTAAAAAAAACAGAGCTTCCAGCAGACACTCCCTTACAACAAACTACGGGAATACATCCATGGCCGTATAAATAGCAGCCAAAAGCATTATTACATGATATTACAACCAGATCCCAGAATATAACATAACATCCATTGCGATCAAATTATGAAAGAACAAGCCAATACAAGAATTAATAACATAACACTGTTGCATTCTCATTTAATAAAATCTGTAGTAGCTTCGTAACGAGGCAACAATTACTGCACATGTCTGGAATTTGCCGCATAATATGACTTGCAAAAGAAATAAATTTGATGCGCCGATGGCCATCTTTGTAAACATACATGATTATATACATGATTAACGTGATATATGCAACTATGAACGAAACTAATTAATTATGACTTTACTGTGCAAATAGATTTAGTTAGATTAATACCTTTGGCGACGAGATTTTGAGGTTGTTGCTGTTGCCAACAATCCATGTTCGACCGCTATGCATGTGGCAAGAGAGCAAAAATAAAACAGAGAGAATGAAAAGGCAAAAAGGATGCACCACACACCGGAGGGGAGAAAAAGACTCATGCCGTCTCCCCTCCAAACTGAAAAATTGTTACTTTTGATTGAGATATGTTTTTTGACCTGCCATGCAAGCGCACCTGTCATGGCAAAGGCCGGATGACAAAGATCGGTCCAGGACTCAGCCCTTTCTCTGAACCTTTGGTCCCGACAATCTTATACATCCGATTCATAACCTATCCCCACCCCCAAATCCCCCAGCCTTCAGTTTCCCACTCATCAAATTACAATCACGCCCTTCGATTTACGAATGTACATCACTTACAGCATCATTAACTACCATTAACGACCAGAGAGTCAGTTCTGCAGAGGCTGAAACAACGCTTGAATCAAGCTCGCCTGAAGCCTCGTTGAATTCAACAACAGCTCCTTAGCCATATCTGATTGGATAAACAATCACAGAGCAATCAGACACTGTAGGGAACTACTGAATCAATTCAGCTTGCAGATTTACAAATCGATAGCATATCAAGATAAGAAAAACGAATTAAAATCACATACGAACCTGTAAATCTGAATCAAACATCGAAGAAGAACAAATCAAGCTGGTTTTAACTAGCTATTCAATTCAACAGCAGCTCAAAACATCTTCACAATCTAAAACCGGCATCGATATACAGATCTCTAATCAATCTACCAGAATTCAAAAGAAATCGAAAGAGAAAGCAATCCATGCAGACTGGATTTGCAGGAGTAGAACTACTCAGGACTCAGGAGGACCAATAGAGTTGTGGACAGAGAGAGGGAGAGACATTGAAGCCGTTGAAAGGTTTTAGATTCACCCAGCCTAACGTAATTTATACTAGAGATGGGATGCTATGGACGGTTAGGATTGAATTTTTGTCTTTGAAATCGAAGGCTGATATGGGAAGGGTGGTACCGGTTACCAAGCAGGACACATTAATTTGCCGCTTTAGTTGGTGGAGTGGGAATCCAGCACATGTGCGTATTAGTCTTGTACTATAATTAGGATTCACCCGCGCCAATTTTCTTAATCATGCTTCTAGAATATTGTATTTGCCACAAAAAGGCTGGCAATATTCAAAAAGTAAATAATCTAGTACCAAACCGGACATGCTTACATATAAAGAAAGATACCTGAGCTGCCTAAACCGTTGTAACAACACAAAGACAGATGTAAAGCGGTTAGAAAAAATATCGAAGCACTCTTCACTTGCATTTTTATTAAGAATTAGTAATAAAAACATTTTCACCAAAACCCCTTCAACTATTTTAAAAACACTTCCAAACGAACAATTATTTTCCCAAACCTTTAGCGTAAATATAATTTTGCATCAAAATGCAAAAGCAAGAAAACAGACTGAAAAAAGGTAACAGAAGGCAAACCTAAACCCTCACCCGACGTAACCAAACCATCTAACGGTCAACTCAGAGCAGATCTGGATGGATTCGAACCACCAACCTCTCAAAAGCCCTGTCAAGGACCCTGAGCGCTCTACCATTTTTGAGCTTACAGATCTTCGTTTCAATTGACGAGGCAAAATGAGAAACACCATCAACACCTAGTTTTTCAGTTTCTTCTTTCCAATAAGAAGTTTCCAGCACAAACAATAACTTGTCAACTCACGTTTAGCAAAAGGGAGATGTCTATTTGAATGGGGATAGAATTTAACTCGAATGAAGGAGAATTAAGCTAAGCCCCACAATTAGCCAACAATAAGAGCACTGTAAATATTACACATACTTGCCATCCATATGAGTTGAATGTCTCCAGACCGGGAGTTGAAAACCACTAGAGCGGGACACTAGTCGATCTCTAAACCCTGCTCCAAACTTGTAAACTACAAAGTATTTAACTTGGAGTGAATTACTTGTCAACTCAAATAGAGATCTAAAAAATCCTTTCCACGGGCATAAAAAAAATATTGTCCTAAGCAGAGCAACAGTCGCACAATTATTCCACAGCCCAGGAACAAAACAACCTACACTTTCTCATGCAACCCTAAACAGCATCCAACTTGTCCAAATTCAAAACGCCGCTGTTTCATTTTTACAAACAATTTACAGTGACACAAATGCTTCCAGCTAATTTTTGTTCTTTGGGGTTAAACCCCGTGGATCATAACAAGAAAGATATCATGAACTGACCAAAACAGCATACGTAAGTAATCATCATAGAAGCACAATAATAGAAACATAAAACGGATACGCGGAAATACTGTTTGAAACATAATCAAAATCAGTAAGTGTAAATCTAACAAATCCGCACACCACAATCTGATCCATTATGTATGTACCACAATTCAATAGAATCAAAATTAGGGGGGAATATTCTATCTAAACTTAACAATTGAACAGAATAAATAAATGATAATGCTAATGGGCACATGAAATAATCCTCGCAATGGATTCAATCACAAAAGGTAAATTAACTGAAACTATTACTTGCTGAGATTTAAAACTTTAAAGACCAAAGATTGTGAAGCTCAACTCGTTTCCTTGGTCACCTCAAGTTATGGGAAAAGAGACCGCAACGTAACGAAATTTGCATCTTCCCCATGACCACGCAGCTTGATTTGAGTAGAATTTCGATTAACTTGTAAATGATATGAGAGACTTCATTCTGGCTATTAGGACTCCTCGAGAAGAGAGCTTCCAGCAGCCAACCTCCCTAGAATCATCTAATTTGAATACAAGGCATGGCTTGCAACAATGGCAGCCAAAGCAACATAATTACATAATATTACAAAGAGCCATGCATTAACAGATCTCACAATATCCAGTAACAGCAATTGAGATCAAACAATAACAAAATAGGCACTTCAGGGTACAATCCCACTCTCAGCTCATAGAATTTGTAAGTACAATAATAACGAGGCAATAAACATTAATAACGAGGCAATAATCAGTACATAATGGTATCATAGGTATGCCTTTAAAAAGGAAGCCGGATAGATTTTGGAAGCGGAAATTGTTATGTAGTATGATAGAATGTGTGGAGTGTGGCATAAGTAGATTGCAAAATTACCCAGTAATTATTGGTCATGGATGGATCTTTCAATTAGAAAGTTCTATTTTGTTTGGATCAAATGTTGTAATTTGTATTCTACAATACATAGAGATTACATAACTTAATTTACCTTTAAATTAATAGAGGTGCTTTTTTTTTTCTGGATCAAATATTATATATTGTTTCGGAAAAAAAATATTATAAATTGTAATTTACAACATAAATGGAGATTAAATAACTTAATTTACCTTCAAAATAAAGGAGTTGATTGAAGAACTCCACAATTAGCAAACTGAAGAATTATTATTGTTCATTTCTACCAATCCCTAAGTTCCAAGAATATAGGTTATATCGATTGAAGGCTTCATAGTGTGTGCAAAAAATTAGATTAATCCCACATCGATTTAAGAAAACGTGAGCATGAGACCTAATTAATCGTGCACGTGATTATATGTTCCCTGTGCAAATCAATTGAAATAGGCTGTCAGATAATACCTTTGGAGGCGAGATATCGATGCATTTGTAGTTGTCCGGAATCCATGTCCGACTGTTTGCGGTTGGCGGCTAGCAAAATTGAAAGACGGAACAAAAAGACAAAGACAGAGAGCGCACACCACACCGGAGGGGAGACCCCGGGCAAAAAAAACCCATGCTGTCTCCCCTCAAAACCAAAATTTCGTTATTTTTTATTGAGATGTTTTTGACCCGCCATGCAAGCGCACCTGTCATGGCAAAGGTCGGATGACAAAGATCGGTCCAGGACTCGGCCCTTACACCGAGCCTTTCGTCCCGATATCTTATACATCCATCCAATTCAACCAATACTCCCACCCAAATCCCCACAATCTTCCGGCTACACTCATGAAATTACAATCATGACCCTCGATCAAGATTACATGTGAATCTTCTGATAGATATTCTTCAGCCACCAGGAGATCGAATCGGATCAGCAGCTGAAACGATGTCGAATACTTCTGATTTGGTTAGAGCTCCGTCTGCGAAATCTGTTTGGATACAAAAACTTACATCAATCAAAATATGTAGGAAAGCAGAAACACTAAATGTAAAATTCTTTGCAAATCATCAAAACTTACACAAAAATGCAAAAACAATAACGACTTGATACATAAATTCATATCCAGGTTAGTGAAACGAAACAAAAACATATACGAACCTGTGAATCCGAATCGAAGATCGGCGAACACAGAAGCTCGCGCAGGTGAAACCAGCTGAATTCAAAAGCAGCTCAATCCATCACCTCACAATCTCAAACCACCATCCACGCGTAGATCTCGATACGATCGATGCGAATCCAATGGAAATCGGCAGCGAAAACAATCCATGGAGCGTAAATCTGGAGAAGAAGTCGGAGGCTCATAGAGCTTTTTGGGTTTTGGTCGGGTGGGGGGGAAGATTTGGTGGCGTTGAATCTTGAATGGTTGATAAGCAGGCACCCTAACCTACTTTTATACGAGGATAAATGGACACGAACGGTTGAGATTGTTTTCGATTCATCGTGATCAACGGCTGTTATTGATGGGTTTGGTGGATTTGGCGGTGGGGAAATCACGGAGAAAACATTGCGTTATCGCAAAGCACGTTCCTCGTCATTGATCTTATCAAACACGACATGTTTATTCGGCCGCATCGATAGGTTATTTCGGTTCTAGATTATTCGATGTATCTGGGCTGGTGGGCTTGTTCTTTGGGCCTTCAGAGGCTGATATGGACCGAGCCCGAAATTACAGGCCTTGCGTATTTGCAACACCTATTCACCAAATTTTGATATCTGGACACCCACATTTTTTTTTTTTAAATTTTAATAACGTTATTGATAACACTGGTGAGAACCAGGGGTTTAGATTTAAAGTTTTTGGAGAAGAAGATGGATGTTTCCACTCGTTGTTATCTCTAGAAATAGAATGTCTAGAGATCACAACGAGTGGAACATAGCTACTCTTTCATGAATGACTAGTAACCTAGTTAGGTGTAAATGTAATTATGACTAATTTATTGTGTGACTTACTGAAGTATGATATGTTTCCAATGCTCTTGTGTTGGTTTATGAGGAAATGCTAGTTTTTGGATGTCTACTTGACCTTTTTTTCCTAAAAGGTTGTTTGTTCTTGCCACTTAATACTACTGTGTACTAGTATTCTTCTTCCCTTATAAGTGAGAAGTATTCGGTTTGATTCTCGCCAATGACGAATTTAAACCAAAATATTATGGCTAACCCATTATAAGGTTAAGTCAACTCCCTCGCTACTCAACGTATATAATATTGTATGTATTCAAATAAGCCTTTGTTCCTAGTTTGTTTATACTTAGTTCCCTTTGGTTTTGTGCTTTCGGTCTAGCTAGCTTTGCTTGGGTTGGGCTTGTTCCTTGGGCCATAAGAAACTCTAGCTGGTTTTAGTCCCTTCTAGTTAATCATTGTAAGGGCATTAACAACTCAATCCGAACTGAACTGACCGGTCCAATTCAACTTTTATCAACTTTTATGACTCTCTTGAATTGAATTGAATTTGGATAGTTGACGGATTTTGATTTTGAGAATCCATGCCAACCTATCTGTTAGTTTTGATGGTTCTTCTCCTGTCATGGGCATTTGAGTTTACCGCTTTTAGCATTCAATTTTTTAGGGTTTACATATCTTTAAAATGCTTGATATGACTAGGTTTAACGAATCAAACCAAGATGACGGTGTGGTTCAAATTTCGTTGGTGGCTAATCTAACATCTAATCTAACAAAATCTATCGTTTGACAAAAAAAAAAACAAGGATGTAAAGTTCACAATCCAATCTATGGGTAGGATGACTCAGTTTAACACACAAATTATGAAGTTGATCCAAATGAAAAATCGTTACCAAAAAGAACTACAGTTTAATCACTCAAATTAAGCGTTCATGCGCTCTTGATGATGAACATGTATGACAAAAATTTAAATAAATAAAACTTAAAAAATGAAAAGGAATTATATAAAAGGCCACTTATCCACATAGTCATTCTGCACAGACATTAGAGTATTGGCATCTGGTGCTTAATTAGTTTGTAGATGCATTGGGTTGGGTCTGGCATCACACTTTCTCCTTCTCCTTCATTTCACTTCCATGCGTCTTGTCATATGCAGGGTGGTTCGCATGGATCAGCTGGTCCTGCTTCGTCTTCGGAAGAATCTGGTTGTCTGAAAACACCCCTCCAAATCCTTCTTCATCAGACCTCGTCGCATACCCTTCCCCAAATGATTAGGACATCACATCTCTAAATACGAACATACACAAACTAATAACATTTAGCTACTAATCATAAATAAAACTCTTTTTCGACTGTCTAGCAACATAAACTGCTTACGTTGTAGACTGTCAATTTTCATAATAGTCTTCATGAATCTATCTGTGGATTCCAACAAAAGTTAAAAAACCTAGTCGAACTTTACATTAATCAGGTTGAATTTTTGCTTGAATGTACATCTAAAACCATGAAAAATATATGATGTATCAAAAAATAAGTCTGCTTGAAAGTGCTTTTAGAATAGTTAAAAACACTTTTAAATCACAAAAAACAAACAATTTTTGTGGTTCTTTCGGTTGGCAAGTCAGTGAAAAACATTTCGTCAAGAATTGCTTGATTTCTTATCATAAGTTGAACAAAACTATTTGAATGAAAACACATTCGAAAAAGAATTCATCCTCGAGTATGACTAGATAACATTACCCGCACACAAAAACTGGAAAGTTTTGAATACAAGAAGCAACGAGCGACTAACCCGGTTTTCTGATTAGGGCTTTGTGCCTTGTCCATATTGTGTTTATTATCTAGATCACTGGAAATAGTTGTGGCATGCTTTAATCCGACCCCGGAAGCAATCCGACCCAAGTTCGAAGGCGCTGAAGATTGGGTTCTGAGGGATTTTACTGCATGAATCATCTTTTGCATTCTTACAAGACTTTACAGCTTCCTATAAATACATGAGAGGAAAATTCACCACGACAAACCAGTAAATATACACGGGTGAGAAATAGTGGAAGTCCCCGATTAGGAATAGCACTATATCCGGTTCTATGGGACGCAGATCCATTTCACACCATAACACAATTACAAATAAATGGATAGTAATGAATAATGGGACACCGTACACTCCACATACTAATTAGAGACTCCAAATTGTCCTTTTCGGGTTCAGTCACTTACCCGCGCGATACACCATTAGGTCAACCTAGACCTAATAATTGAAAATTAGTAATTTTAAGATGTAACCGTTCACTTGATTTTTAACTATCATTGAGTTTTTACAATGAAGTATCATCGACCAACCATGTGGTGTTAGCATTTCTTTTTTTAAGATATCAACACCTCAACCAGCTATGTTGTGTAAGCAAAAAATAATCAAGAAAAATATGGAGGCGACACGTAGATAATTGGGTTAAAAAGACAAAATTACCCTTGAGGCACACCGGGACTCTCATGCGCATGCAACATGCAATAACGTCTCAATTAAGGTCAAAGGTGATCAAAATATTATTTATTCAAAACTCTCTCATCACTCCTCATCAAATCATCACCCACAAGGTAACTCCCAATTATTCTTTTCAAATTGGGATTAATTACCAAAATTAATTTATTAATTACCTAATTCATTGCAAGATATTATTTGGCAATCAAAGCCAAATTTCCACCATAAGTGCCACACCCTTATACATAGCCCCTCATTTCTCCAAAAACCTAAGTCCATTCTCTCCCTAAAATTTTCTAAACACTTTTTCTCTCAAATTGTAACTTCAGCATCAGAGATTCTTTTGCCAAAGTCCCCCATTCATCTTGGGCGTATGAGGCTCTTGGCCTTGATCTTAGGTGTTATTGTTTTGCAGGTGCATTTTCATCAAAGGAGAAGAAGGCGGAAACTTGCATCCACAAATTGGTGCTTTCATTGAGAGTTTGATTCACACGCTTGAAGAAAACTCTCGCATTCAAAGTTTCTCATTTATTGTTTACGTTCTTATTCCTAGAATTTTTTTATAAAATTCTTTGAATAAACGTAAAAGAAAAGTATAATGACTATAAATTCGGAAACCATAACGAAGTGGAACTTCCTACGTTCAAAGATTTGGACCAAGTGATGGAGATCAGGCAATAGCTCCACCGCAACGATCAACAAGGCTTAACACGACGAGCAGTAGAGTGGCACCACCCCCACGGCGCACTACTGTGGCAGCCACCACGGCAATGGCTCTTGGCGAGCCCAATACCTATGGTGAGCAGGACACCTCGCAGTAGTAGGCCCAAACCCATGCCACAAGGCAACCAGCCCAGCGCAAAGCAGCCTACATTCAACAGGTCCACGACATTGCAATGCCAGCTGAGGCCCAAGCAACTGCAGCAATTGGAGTAGCCCAGCACTCACGGGCCTAAGGTCAGCGCGCTCCAAAGCTAAACCTAAACCCACGCCACTGTGTAACAGCAAGCCCAAGCCGCTACCTCAGCAGCGTCGGCCCAAAGTCTGCACACGTCCACTCAATGCATGTCCCAAGTTGTCCAAGCCTAGTGTGAGCTCAGGCCCAGCGCCTACATGCGCTACACGCGGGGTAGCCCACTCCCATAGCTTTCCTAACAGCCCAAACCAATCCAAGACCAGTTTAACCGTCTCAACTTTAGATTTCTGGATCGACGATTAAACCGGGGGTATTTTCACCCTATTTCTCTGCAGATTTGACATATCCCAACTCAAATCTCACACCCAAAGTCCATTACTCAAGGAAACGCATATAGTCCAAGCTCTTCCAACCCAAATGGCAAACAACACTTGCCTCGACAAGTCATAGAGTTGATAGGCGCCCTCGGGCAATAAACGACCTTGGTGACAACTCTTGTAGCGTACCGAGATGCAACGTGCCCCAGACGAAGTGTCCCAAAGTAAGACAAGGGCAGCCACTCGACTAGTCACGAACCGAGTGTTCTAGCGGTGTACATTCCCGACTAGGCCCCCGAGATAGCGTATACTCTCGTTTTAGCACTCGGATAAGCATGCACTCTAAGTTAGGCCCACAAACGAGCATACACTCACAGTTGGGGCCACATTCCGATAATCAACATAAGCAACTTTCCAGGCGAAATGTTCATTTACGGCAAGGCCCGCAAAAAGCGTCATCCATCTCACATCAGAGTAGGAAACTCGACGGACGGAGAGAAACAGTCACTTAATCTGGCTCAAGTTTAACTAACAGTATGCAAGAAGTTCACTCGTCCGCTAGGAACATACCATATGCACCGCAGCCGTGACATGGATAAGCTGAACATATAGAAAAGCAGCCTAGCCTAGTAGACCACGACCAGGGGCAGCAGAGAGTTTCGCTACCCCCAACAAAGGCAAATTTAGGAAGAAGTAGAAAGGCTCATGACCGAGTGATTGTGCGATTTCCAATACAACAAGGTCACTGACGAGGCACTACAACGGGACGTA